TTGATTTCCCCCGATCTCCTTCGAAACATAGCGTGTTTCCTTGCTCATCCTCGAGCTCCAACACCTTGGTGTAGCAATCTACTCGAGCATGGTGCTTCTCAAGCCAATCCATTCCTAGGATTGCATCGAACTCCAACATGCTTAGAGGTACGAAATCACAAGTCAAGGGTTGACCCGTCACTTCCACCTCACATGATGGATAGTGATGATTTCTCTCCACATCGTCCCCTAATGGTGTGGAGACTAGCAACGTTTGCGTCATAGGTGTCAATGGCACGTCAAGTCCCTCGGCGAACGCCTCACTCACAAATGAGCGTTGTGCCCCGGTATCGATGAGGATCCTCGCACACCTACCATTGATCTTTAATGTTCCTACATTTATACACCATGTAAGATACATTTTCTAATGTTTTTACACATCTTTAGGAGGTTATTAAGTCAATACTAAGGTTTGGAATCAAACGGGGGTCCAAACGTAGAAGAACGGGGTGAAAAAATCAATTTTCGGGGGTTGGGGGTCCACGCACGGCGTGCCTGGGTGGCACGCACGACCGTGCGTGCAACGAACTAACTCTGCGTGCCACTGCCGGCCAGGCACGATGCCAGGCACGGCGTGCCTACGGCCGTGCCTGGCCCAAAAATTTTTTTTTTTTTTCTCTTTCCTTCGGGTGCCACTGCCTTCCAGACACGGTGCCAGGCACGGCGTGCCTGCGACCGTGCCTGGCCAAAAAAATCTTCCGGTTGCCACTGCCTTCCAGGCACGATGCCAGGCACGGCGTGCCTGCGAGCGTGCCTGGCCGGCAGTGGCTGTTTCCAGCTGATTTGGCCTAACTTGCCCGGTTTTGACCCCGGGGTGGCCCGCACTCAATCCCTACGACGTATATGATCAATGCAAGCCTAGAAATACATGGGAATACGTGTATTACCTGCAACGGAGTCGGGATTGGCCCGAGCATCGGCCTCGGTCATTGCGTAGACTCTAGCTTGCGTCCTTCCTTGATTCACGGACGGCGCGTTGCTGGCGCTCGCTCCCCCCCTGCCCCGTACTAGCATGGGGTGCTCCGGTCCGACTCCTACTTGCCATAGTAGCGCCGCTTGATCCCGCCCCTCGGTTTCCACCAAGTTGAGGGCAATTTGGTTTAAGATGCCCCGTGTCTCCACATTGGTAGCACCGAGGAGGGTCACGACACTTACCGGCGTGGCTCCTGTTGCAATTTCGGCACCTGGGCGCTGTCGAGGCTTGTGAGCCCGAGTTGTGCCCGCCGAAAGCCGAGTTTCCCTTGGATGGCGGCGCCGGTGCCCTGAACGATCCTCCTCCCCCGTGGTTCCCCTTTTTGTTAGAACCTTGTGGGCCATGGCTTTCCCACTTCCTCTTCTTCGCCTCCTCGGCGTTCCTCCGCTTTCTTTCCTCCCACTCCTTCTCTCCCTTCAGGCCCTGTTCAACCACTTGACTAAACGTCATATTAGGCAATTGTGTTGCCCTCTCGCGTATGTCAAGGTCTAAGGCATCCCAGAAGTGGTTCACCATCCGGTTCTCATCACATATGTACTCCGGTATGAATTCGGCAAGCTTTCTGAACTTGTGCTCAAGTTCCTTCACCGTACATGTGCCTCCCTGTGTCAAGTTCGTATACTCCCTCCTCTTCATGTTTACCTCGAAGTCGGAGTAGTATTGGTTGAAGAACTCCTGCCGAAAGTTCTCCCATGTGACGGCTTCGCCGTATTTTCCTTTGACCCCGTCCCACCACGTGGACGCCATGCCTTCGAGCAATCTTGTTGCCACCCTCAATTTCATGATGGGTGGCAGCTGCATGTCAAGGGCCGCCTCGTTGAATCTTTTGATCCATTCGGCTGCAACGGAGATGTCTCCCGTTCCATCAAACGGTTTACATCCCAAATCTCGTGCTTCTTTGATAAATTTGGAGATCCTTATGGTTGGACCTCCCACATCTTGGCCTCCATGTGGTTCAACATGGACTCTAGAAGCACCTTGGCTTCCTCCTCTCGAAGCCATGCCCGAAGGTTGCCCCGTTCGGCGCCTTCGACGTTGTCTCCTCTCTTCGCGCTCCCGGTGGTATTGTTGGAGCAGCGCCTCGATCCTCCCAAGAGTGCCATCGTCTTCACTCTCTTCACTCACATCGTCATCTTCCCCATCATATGGGGTTTCCACCGGCTCGGTTTCCGGCCTATAGGTTGAGTCCTCATAGGACCAATAAGTCTCACTCTCGGTGTCCACGTGGCCATCGCTCACGGTTTGTTGTTGGCCTCCACGGCCCCTTCCCCTGGACACCCTAGCGGACCCCCGGCTGCCGCGTTCGGACCCACCCGGTACACGGCCCGTCGGGTTCCTCCTAGTGATCCTTCCAATTGGCTCCATTTCTGAAAGAAGTTTAGAATGGGCCGTTAGACTCGTATCAAATGTCAAGTGACGGATAGGTACTTAAGGACATCTTTTGGCTCAAATCACCGCCATGCCAATTGTTAAGGGTACCATCTTAACAATTAGAGACTTTGCAACTCAAGTACCAAAAGTTCTATAAGTACAAAACTTTATGCTCATGGTTTTCAAATTCTTTTTCAAAAGGAATTTTGAAGCTTCATTATGAAGTTTACGGACTAAGGCTCTGATACCAATTAAATTGTCACGCCCCGGGCCTATCCGGACACGTCAACAATCCGCCGTACAGTACGAATAGTCATCCGCAGTCCAACACATTCATACTATACAAGGCGTCTGGGATATCATTCACACATAGTACATCCATAAACAAACATAATGTAAAATATTCATTCAAAGCAGCGGAAACGTTTGATACAAGTGTTCAAGACTTCATGCCACACTTGGCGAAACATGGGCATACAAGCCATCAAATAATTATTCAAAAGATAACATCCATGAGCATTAATTTAAATGATTTTAAAACAGGAACGGAGGAAGCACGAACCACGTCTTCTTCTCCTGAATTCTCTTGGAGCGACGGCGATGGTAGCAACCTTCAAGTTCTACCTGAAACTGTGAGGTGGCCTCCCCCGTGAAGGGGAGGTCAGTACTTGGAAGCATTTGACAAGTACAATGACAACTATACTAAGTATAATCAAAGTTTCAATTTCCAAGACCCTCAATCTAAGATGTTATTCATTTATAATTAACTCATGTCCTCCATGCTAGAGCTCGGCTCATAGTCATATCAATTTGTGCTAGAGCTCGGCTCATAGTCACCCTACGTTTGCTAGAGCTCGGCTCATAGTCATACTAATTTGTGCTAGAGCTCGGCTCATAGTCACCCTACGCTTGCTAGAGCTCGGCTCATAGTCATACTAATTTGTGCTAGAGCTCGGCTCATAGTCACCCTACCACGTGCTAGAGCTCGGCTCATAGTCACGTCAACTAATCCCTAAACCACTTCTTAGTCTAGGTTCCATCCATTTTGAGTAACCCCTAAGGCTTACTCCAAATGTAACTTGAGTTCATAACAATTTGAATATTTCAATAAAATTCCTCATTCAAGTATAACTTGGCTCTAATATCAAAATATCACTTTTATCCTTCCATGACTTTCTTACATGAGGTAAAAGTATATTTATCACAATTTAGTTTATAGTTTACACAACTATTATGTCATTGTATTCATAACACACAATCATACACAATTTGTTCATAAATTTGTATATTATGCATTTTTACTTATAAACAATAATAATCTCATTTAGGCATTTTTTTTTATTATAAATAAATCATGCCAAACACATATAATTCATTTAGGTAATCTTATGAAATTAACCCAATAATTATAAGCAATATAGTCGGTCATCCTCACCTTAAGTGAGCTTAAGCGTGTTCTACGCTCCGCGGTTGAACTTTGACTATTTTCGGTGAACTTTGACCAACTCCGGCCAACTTTGACCAACTCCGGCGAAACTCCGGCGAAGCCCAAAGATACTCTAAATCAAGTTCCTAACAAGGTTTTAACATCATAAAACCTTAATCAATACACATAACCCTTAAAAGGTTATTTTCCGGTGAACTTGTCGGTTTGGCTCCTAAGTCCGTTTTTGGACTTAGAACCCCCTTCCAACCCATCATTCTACACTTAACTCATGTGGAACAATCATAGGGTTTTTTCCAAATTTCTCAAATAACAATATATTCAAGAAAAAGAGAAGAGAAGAGTAGATGAAGTCATTACCTAGCTTTTTCTCAAGTTTTGTACACTTTAGACCTTAAACTTTTTTCCTGGAGCTTCCTCCTTGTTGGAACTTCCTTCAACAATGGTGAGAGGTTTTTGAGAGCTCCTTCCTCTTGCTGGATGGGTGTTTGGCCGAAATGATCAAGGGACAAGGGGTGGGTGAGCCTTTTTGTCTCAATAGTATGAGTGGAGTGTGGGAGAGGCCCACCTTATTTGTTTGATGCCTTTCCCCTCACTTCACACTCCTCTCCTATCCCCTCCACACTCCTCCAGCCGGCCAAGGCCTTGAAATGTGTGTCCAATTTCGTGGGTTGGCCCCCACCCATGTGGGAGGTCAACCCTTTTTGTCCAGAAGTGTACACTTTGTCCCGAAAGTTGTATTTTTCGGACCATTTAAAATATGTTTTATTTTATCGGGTCAAATAAAATATATTATGTGCTCTCCATCATTAAGACTCTTATGATGAATATTCATACCCCAACTTTAATTTATAAGTCCCCGAAATTCAATTTCGGGCTTTTATCGGTTAAATTGCCAATACCGGTATTTAGGCCTCTTTGACCAATCGGTCAACTCCGGACCTTTCCATGGCTCAAATGAGTTATCCTCCACCATATAAATATTATCTAGACCGAGATGGATAGTTTATGTAGTCCCGGGAATATTGGGCGGCCCCCGCTCCCGGTGCGGGCCCCACGTGCGAATTTACTATTCACGCAAAATAATTAATAAAAATCCATAACATTGTAAACTCATTAACCATTCCACAAGGTTACATACAATATTATTCACTTAAAAGTAAATACGTTTGGGGACGGTGTTACATTCCGGCTCCTCTACCAGATCTCGCCACTCCTCCATCAACATATTCTCGCTGCAGGGTAGGTGTTCTAAAACATACAGATGCTCGATCTATCTCCACGAAAGTAAAGTTGAATCGGTTACCATTTTTGCTACTCCGCCGCTCTGAGCTCTTGCAGCTCTCTCAGTTCCTCCATCAGCATTCGTCACTGCAAGTGTACTAAAACATGTAGTTGCCCCATCTCCATCACCCATGACCTCGCCTGTCACGCCCCGGACCTACCGGACACGTCAACAACCCGCCGTACAGTACGAATAGTCAACCGCAGTCCAACTCATCCATACTATACTAGGCGTCTTGAATACCATTCACACATAGTACATCCATAAACAATCATAACGTAAAAGATTTAATTAAGCAGCGGAAACATAATTACAAATATTCAAGCCACACGTGGCAACCACGGGCATACAAGCCCCCAAATAAATATTCGAAATAATATCCATGAGCATTATTTAAATTGTTTTCAAAACAGAAACAGGAGAAGTACGAACCCCGCCTTCCTCCTTGAATTCCCCGAAGCAACGAGCGGTAGTAGCAAGCTCTACTCCCTACCTGAAACTGTGAGGTGGCCTCCCCCGTGAAGGGGAGGTCAGTACTTGGAAGCATTTGACAAGTACAATGACAACTATACTAAGTATAATCAAAGTTTCAATTTCCAAGACCCTCAATCCAAGATGTTATTCATTTGTACTTAACTCATGTTCCTTCATGCTAGAGCTCGGCTCATAGTCATGCTAAATTGTGCTAGAGCTCGGCTCATAGTCACACTACATTCGCTAGAGCTCGGCTCATAGTCATATATACTAAAATTGTGCTAGAGCTCGGCTCATAGTCACCCTACGTTTGCTAGAGCTCGGCTCATAGTCATACTAATTTGTGCTAGAGCTCGGCTCATAGTCACCCTACGTTTGCTAGAGCTCGGCTCATAGTCATGCTACCACGTGCTAGAGCTCGGCTCATAGTCACGTCAACTAATCCCTAAACCACTTCTTAGTCTAGGTTCCATCCATTTTGAGTAACCCTTAAGGCCTACTCCAAATGTAACTTAAGTTCATAATAATTTGAATATCTCAATTAAATTCCACATTCAAGTATAACTTGGCTCTAATATCAAAATATCACTTTTATCCTTCCATGACTTCCTTACATGAGGTAAAAGTATATTTATCACAATTTAGTTTATAGTTTACACAACTATTATACCATTGTATTCATAACACATAATCATACACAATTTATTCATAAATTTGTATATTATGCATTTTTGCTTATGAACAATAAAAATCTCATTTAGGCATTTTATTATTATAAATACATCATGCCAAACACATATAATTCATTTAGGTAATCTTATGAAATTAACCCAATAATTATAAGCAATATAGTCGGTCATCCTCACCTCGAGTGAGCTTAAGCGCGTTCTCCGCTTCCCGGTGGAACTTTGACCAACTCCGGTGAACTTTGACCAACTCCGGCGAAACTCCGGCGAGGTTCAAAAATGCTTAAGTCAAGTCCCTAACAAGGTTTTAACATCATAAAACCTTAATCAATACAAATAACCTCTAAGGTTATTTTCCGGTAAACCGGTCGTTTTGACTTCTAAATCCGTTCTTGGACCTAGAACCACTTTCCAACCCATCATTCTACACTTAATCATGTAGAACCATTCTCAAGGGTCTTCATATGATATATATCTCATATGATAGAAGAAAAATAAAGGAAAAGTTAATATAAGGTCTTTACCTTAACCCTTCTCACTTTCTCCTCACTTTTTCCTTCTCAAAGACCTCCTTTTGGACTCCTTAAGCTTGAGCTCTCTTCAAAGATGGAGAATGGAGGATGGAAAATTACTCTTGCTTCTTTCTTGGGTGCTGGCCGAGATGGGGGGTGAGGGAGAGAGGGGTGAGATTTTCTTTTTTGGCTTTCTTGCCAAATGAGTGAGGATGGGGTCCTTAGGATGTCAAAATGGTCTCCCCCATCATCTCAAGGTTTTCAGACCTTGTTTGAGACAAATCAGCCTCCATTTTGTGGCCAAAATCGTGGGTTGGCCCCCACTCATGTGGGAGGTCAACCCCTTTTGTCCCGAAGTGTACAATCGGTCCCGAAAGTTGTATTTTTCGGACAGTTTTTGTTATATTTTATTTTATCGGGTCAAATAAAATATTTTACATGCTCTTTAACCAACATGAACCTTATAATGAATATTCATTCCCCAACTTTAATTTATAAGTCCCCGAAATTCAATTTCGGACATTTATCGGTAAAATCGTCAATACCGGTATTTGGGCCTCTCTTGACCAATCGGTCAACTCTGGACCTTTCCATGGTTCAAATGAATTATCCACCACCATATAATTATTATCTAGACTAAGATGAATAATTTATGTGGTCCCGGGAATATCGGGCGGCCCCCGCTTCCGGGCGGGCCTCACGTGCGAATTTACTATTCGTGCGAAAGAATTAATAAAAATTCGTAACATCATAATTTCTTTAACCATTCCATAAGGTTAAAATATAATATTCACATAAAAGTAAATACATTTGGGGACGGTGTTACAAGTTCACCCCCCCTTATTTGGGATTTCGTCCCCGAAATCCACATGTCTAATCAAAAAGAAACGGGTATTGCTCCCTCATTGAGACCTCAGTCTCCCATGTTTCTTCCTCGACCCGATCACTCCTCCAAAGGACTTTCACCATAGGAATCTCCTTGTTTCTCAATTTCTTCACTTGTTGTCCCACAATCTTCACCGGTTCCACCGCATATTGTAGGTCTTCGCGTATCTCTACCGGTGGCCTCTCAAGAATATGAGACGGGTCTCTCACGTATTTCTTGAGCATCGATACATGGAACACATCGTGTATCTTCTCAAGTTCCGGCGTCAACTTGAGTCGGTATGCTACGGCCCCTATCCTTTCAAGGATTTCAAATGGACCAATGTATCGGGGGTTAAGCTTTCCCCTCGATATAAATCGGATGATACCCTTCCAAGGAGAAATCCTTAGGAAGACCTTATCACCGACCTCGAATTCCAATGGCCTTCGTCGTTTGTTGGCATAGCTCTTCTGCCGATCTTGGGCAGCCTTGAGTCTATCCTGAATGACTTTCACCTTAGCCTTGGTGATTTCAACAAGTTCAATCCCCTCGAGCTTGGCCTCGCCAACCTCGTCCCAACATAACGGTGTTCTGCACTTCCTCCCATACAATGCCTCGTATGGAGGCATGCCGATACTCGCCTGATAACTGTTGTTATAGGCGAATTCGACTAGAGCCAAATGTTTGTCCCAACTTCCTTGGAACTCCAGAGCACACGCCCTAAGCATGTCCTCCAATATCTGTATCACTCGCTCGGATTGTCCATCCGTCTGTGGATGAAAAGCCGTGCTGAACTTCAATTTAGTACCCAAAGATGCTTGAAACTTGGGCCAAAATCGAGATGTGAATCGTGGATCCCTATCCGAGACAATGGATATCGGGACTCCATGTAGCCTCACAATCTCCTCCGTGTATAGTTTTGCCAATCTTTCAAGAGGGTAAGTGATGTTAATAGGCAAAAAGTGTGCACTCTTGGTGAGCCTATCAACTACTACCCATACTGCATCATAGTTGTTCACGGTCCGCGGCAACCCCACCACGAAATCCATAGTCACATGCTCCCATTTCCATTCTGGAATGGAAAGTGGCTGTAATAACCCAGCTGGATGCTGATGTTCTGCCTTAACTTGTTGACAAGTAAGGCATCGACTGATGTACTCGGCTATCTCTCTCTTCATACCGGACCACCAGTAACTTTCCTTCAAATCACGATACATCTTCGTGCCCCCCGGGTGCATGGCATAAGCCGATGAATGAGCTTCCTCTAAGATGGACTTTCGGAGCTCATCATCTGCCGGCACACACACTCGGTCACGAAATAATAAAAGACCGTCATCTCTTTCCCTGAAGTCCTCCACCGATCCCGCTTGCATACGTTCCCGGATCTTCATGATTTCCTCATCAGTTTCCTGACCCTTCTTGATCTCATCAAGCAAGGTAGGTCTCACCTCAAACCGTGCCAATAAGGCACCATTACTGGACACCTCCAGTTGGGCTCTTAATGCCCTCAAATTAGCTATCAATGCCCCAGATGAGCTCTTCCGGCTCAAAGCATCTGCCACCACATTTGCCTTGCCTGGATGGTACTCAATCACTAGATGGTAGTCCTTTATCAACTCCATCCACCGTCTCTGCCTCATGTTTAACTCTTTCTGAGTAAACACGTACTTCAAGCTCTTATGGTCAGTGTATATGTGACATGTCTCTCCGTAGAGATAATGTCTCCAAATCTTCAGTGCGAACACCACTGCCCCGAGCTCTAAATCATGAGTAGGATAATTTACCTCATGCTTCTTCAACTGTCGTGAAGCATAGGCGATTACCCTCCCCTCTTGCATTAACACACATCCAAGCCCTTGGATGCTCGCGTCACTATAGACATCGTACCCCATACCCTGTTTGGGTAATGCAAGTACCGGTGCCTCAGTCAATTTCTTCTTCAGTTCAGTGAATCCTTCCTCACATTTTTCATCCCATACAAACTTAGCTCCTTTTCGAGTGAGCTTCGTCAGCGGTGATGCCAAAACAGAGAACTTCTCCACGAACTTTCTATAGTATCCTGCCAATCCAAGGAAACTACGAATTTCCTTGACGTTTTTTGGCCTCTCCCATTCGGTGATGGCTTCTATCTTCTTGTTATCAACAGCGATTCCCGATCCCGAAACCACATGCCCGAGAAAACCAATCTCCTTAAGCCAAAATTCACATTTAGAAAATTTAGCATAGAGTTGCTTCTCCCGTAGTGTCTCAAGAACGAGTGTCAAGTGCTCCTTATGCTCTTCCTCACTCTTTGAGTAGATCAAGATGTCATCAATGAACACAATCACGAATCGGTCCAAGTATTTGTGAAATACTCGGTTCATCAAGTCCATGAATGCCGCCGGGGCGTTTGTTAACCCAAACGACATAACAAGGAACTCAAAATGCCCATACCTCGTGCGGAAAGCACTCTTCGGTATGTCATCCTCCTTAATCTTCAATTGATGGTACCCCGACCTCAAGTCAATCTTTGAAAACACGGTTGCTCCTCGTAGTTGATCAAACAAGTCATCAATCCTAGGCAAGGGATACCTATTCTTGATTGTGACCTTGTTCAGTTGACGATAGTCATTGCACATTCGAAGTGTTCCATCCTTCTTTTTCACAAAAAGGACTGGTGCTCCCCACGGGGAGTGGCTTGGTCTAATGAAACCGTTATCCAAAAGCTCTTGCAATTGGGTTTTTAACTCGTTAAGTTCAGCGGGTGCCATACGGTATGGCGGTATGGAGATTGGTTTGGTGCCGGGCTCGACTTCGATCACGAACTCAATCTCCCTATCGGGTGGAAGTCCCGGTAAGTCTTTTGGAAAGACGTCCCGATACTTGCATACTACCCTAACATCATCAATGCTCGTCTCTTCTTTGGTTTTGTCCACCACATACGCTAGATATGCGTGACATCCCTTCCTCATCATATTCTTAGCCCTCACAGCGGATATGATACAACTATTGGATTTTGCCCTATCCCCCTCGAAGCGTAGGGTCACCCCTTCATTGCCTTCGAGTTCAAGTACTTTCGTGTAACAATCGACCCTAGCATGATGCTTCTCAAGCCAATCCATCCCCAGGATTGCATCGAACTCAATCATACTCAGCGGCACGAAATCACACGACAAGTTTTGGCCCTCCACTTCCACCTCACACGATGGATAGTGGCTATCTCTCTCGATGTCTTCCCCTAGGGGTGTGGATACCAATAGGGCTTGAGTCATCGGTACCAGGGGTACGTTGAATCCCCCGGCGAATGCCTCACTCACAAATGATCGTTGCGCCCCGGTATCGATGAGGATTCTCGCACATCTCCCATTAATCTTTAGTGTTCCTACATTTATAAGCCATGTAAGATACCTCTCTAACATACCGACCAATCCTACGAAGAACATAATGCGAAATTATGTCCTTAAAGTGGGCAAAGTCCCCCAATTATGGTTAACGTTCGCAGTTGAGATATAAATTGACACTGTCTCACCGTTTTGATCATATCTCTTCACATACTTAACCAAATCGTTCGATTCAAATTCCATCATTTAGACAATGAAAATATCTACAACTTTCATGAAGACAACTTTTTCATTTGACGAACACTTCGAGGTGTACCCGGTCGGGTAACATACTATACCCGGTCGGGTATAGGTTCCAGTGGGTTCGGGCAGAATTTTTTTGACAAACCCGGTCGGGTATAACACCATACCCGGTCGGGTATGTGTTCCAGTGGGTGTCGGGAAGAAATTTTTGACAAACCCGGTCGGGTATACCACCATACCCGGTCGGGTATGTGTTCCAGTGGACTTATGAGTGCAAAAACTTGTCCTACCCGGTCGGGTTCATTACCAAACCCGATCGGGTATGCGATCCAGAAGGTTTACGAGGGCAAAAACTTGTCCTACCCGGTCGGGTTTATTGCCCTACCCGGTCGGGTAGTAGCATGGTTTTGCTCTCCTTTCCCATTTCAATCTTACGTCCGCTCCCGCCTGGATTCTAGGATTTATAACTTCAATTTATGGATGAGGAATGGGTAAAATACGGGAAGTTAAGCGGTCATACCTGCAACCGAATCTGGGTTAGCTCGGGCATCCGCCTCCGTCATTGCGTAGACCCTTGCTTGGGTCCTTCCTTGGTTAACGGACGGCGCATTGCTCGTGCTTGCTCCCCCTTGGCCCGTACTAGCATGAGGTGCTCCGGTTCGGCTCCTACTTGCCGTAGTAGCGCCGCTTGATCCCGCTCCTCGGTTCCTACCAAGTTGAGGGCAATTTGGCTTAGTATGCCCCGTGTCCCCACATTGGTAACACCGTGGTGGATCACGACACTTACCGGCGTGGCTCCGGTTGCAATTTCTGCACCTGGGCGCCGTTGAGGCTTGTGAGCCCGAGTTGTGCCCGCCGAAGGCCGAGTTTCCCTTGGATGGCGGTGCCGGCGCTCTGAACGATCCCCCTCCCCCGTGGTTCCCCTTTTTGTTAGAACCTTGGGGGCCATGGTTCTCCCATTTCCTCTTCTTCGCCTCTTCGGCGTTCCTTCGCTTTCTTTCCTCCCACTCTTTTTCTCCCTTCAAGCCTTGTTCAACCACTTGACTAAACGTCATATTAGGCAATTGTGTTGCCCTCTCGCGTATGTCAAGGTCTAAGGCATCCCAGAAATGGTTCACCATCCGGTTTTCGTCACAAATGTACTCCGGTATGAACTCAGCAAGTTTCCTGAACTTGTGCTCAAGTTCCTTCACCGTGCATTCCCCTCCTTGGGTCAAATTCGTGTACTCCCTCCTCTTCAAGTTCACCTCGAAGTCGGAGTAGTATTGGCTAAAGAATTCTTGCCTAAAGTTCTCCCAAGTGACGGCCTCGCCGTACTTCCCTTTGACTCCGTCCCACCACGTGGACGCCATGCCTTCAAGCAATCTTGTTGCCACTCTCATCTTCATGTGGGGTGGCAGTTGCATGTCAAGGGCCGCTTCATTGAATCTCTTGATCCACTCGGCCGCCACGGAGATGTCTCCCGTTCCATCAAACGGTTTACATCCCAAGTCTCTCGCCTCCTTTAGGTACTTTGAGATTCTTATGATAGGAACCTCAGCACCTCGACCTCCTCGGAGTTCAATGCTCTCCCTAGGAGTCGCGCGGCTTCCTCTCCTCGAAGCCCCTTCCAAAGCACGCCTTGCCCGGCGCCTTTGGCGATCTTGTTGATATTGCCGGAGCAATTCCTCAATCCGTTCAAGAGCGATATTATCATCACTCTCATCACTAGCATCGTCGTGTTCCCCATCATATGGGGTCTCAACCGGCTCAGTTCCCGGTTGGTAAGTTGAATCCTCCTCGGACTCATAGTGTTCATCTATTGTTTCCACGTGACCGTCACTCACGGTCAACGAATGGCCTGCACGGCCCTGTCCCCTAGACTCTCTTGATCCCCCCCGACTGCCACGTTGGGATCCTCCCAGTGCCTGGCCAGTCGGGTTCCGTCGAGTAATTCTACCGGTACGTTCCATTTCTGAAAGAAGTTTAGAATGAGCCATTAGACTCGTATCAAATGTCAAGTGACGGATAGGTACTTAAAGACATCTTTTGGCTCAAATCACCGTCATACCAATTGTTAAGGGTACCATCTTAACAATTAGAGACCTTGCAACTCAAGTACCAAAAGTTCTATAAGTACAAAACTTTATGCTCATGGGTTTCAAATTCGTTTTTTTTCAAAAAGAGATTTTGAAGCTTCATTATGAAGTTTACGGACTAAGGCTCTGATACCAATTAAATTGTCACGCCCCGGACCTACCGGACACGTCAACAACCCGCCGTACAGTACGAATAGTCAACCGCAGTCCAACTCATCCATACTATACTAGGCGTCTTGAATACCATTCACACATAGTACATCCATAAACAATCATAACGTAAAAGATTTAATTAAGCAGCGGAAACATAATTACAAATATTCAAGCCACACGTGGCAACCACGGGCATACAAGCCCCCAAATAAATATTCGAAATAATATCCATGAGCATTATTTAAATTGTTTTCAAAACAGAAACAGGAGAAGTACGAACCCCGCCTTCCTCCTTGAATTCCCCGAAGCAACGAGCGGTAGTAGCAAGCTCTACTCCCTACCTGAAACTGTGAGGTGGCCTCCCCCGTGAAGGGGAGGTCAGTACTTGGAAGCATTTGACAAGTACAATGACAACTATACTAAGTATAATCAAAGTTTCAATTTCCAAGACCCTCAATCCAAGATGTTATTCATTTGTACTTAACTCATGTTCCTTCATGCTAGAGCTCGGCTCATAGTCATGCTAAATTGTGCTAGAGCTCGGCTCATAGTCACACTACATTCGCTAGAGCTCGGCTCATAGTCATATATACTAAAATTGTGCTAGAGCTCGGCTCATAGTCACCCTACGTTTGCTAGAGCTCGGCTCATAGTCATACTAATTTGTGCTAGAGCTCGGCTCATAGTCACCCTACGTTTGCTAGAGCTCGGCTCATAGTCATGCTACCACGTGCTAGAGCTCGGCTCATAGTCACGTCAACTAATCCCTAAACCACTTCTTAGTCTAGGTTCCATCCATTTTGAGTAACCCTTAAGGCCTACTCCAAATGTAACTTAAGTTCATAATAATTTGAATATCTCAATTAAATTCCACATTCAAGTATAACTTGGCTCTAATATCAAAATATCACTTTTATCCTTCCATGACTTCCTTACATGAGGTAAAAGTATATTTATCACAATTTAGTTTATAGTTTACACAACTATTATACCATTGTATTCATAACACATAATCATACACAATTTATTCATAAATTTGTATATTATGCATTTTTGCTTATGAACAATAAAAATCTCATTTAGGCATTTTATTATTATAAATACATCATGCCAAACACATATAATTCATTTAGGTAATCTTATGAAATTAACCCAATAATTATAAGCAATATAGTCGGTCATCCTCACCTCGAGTGAGCTTAAGCGCGTTCTCCGCTTCCCGGTGGAACTTTGACCAACTCCGGTGAACTTTGACCAACTCCGGCGAAACTCCGGCGAGGTTCAAAAATGCTTAAGTCAAGTCCCTAACAAGGTTTTAACATCATAAAACCTTAATCAATACAAATAACCTCTAAGGTTATTTTCCGGTAAACCGGTCGTTTTGACTTCTAAATCCGTTCTTGGACCTAGAACCACTTTCCAACCCATCATTCTACACTTAATCATGTAGAACCATTCTCAAGGGTCTTCATATGATATATATCTCATATGATAGAAGAAAAATAAAGGAAAAGTTAATATAAGGTCTTTACCTTAACCCTTCTCACTTTCTCCTCACTTTTTCCTTCTCAAAGACCTCCTTTTGGACTCCTTAAGCTTGAGCTCTCTTCAAAGATGGAGAATGGAGGATGGAAAATTACTCTTGCTTCTTTCTTGGGTGCTGGCCGAGATGGGGGGTGAGGGAGAGAGGGGTGAGATTTTCTTTTTTGGCTTTCTTGCCAAATGAGTGAGGATGGGGTCCTTAGGATGTCAAAATGGTCTCCCCCATCATCTCAAGGTTTTCAGACCTTGTTTGAGACAAATCAGCCTCCATTTTGTGGCCAAAATCGTGGGTTGGCCCCCACTCATGTGGGAGGTCAACCCCTTTTGTCCCGAAGTGTACAATCGGTCCCGAAAGTTGTATTTTTCGGACAGTTTTTGTTATATTTTATTTTATCGGGTCAAATAAAATATTTTACATGCTCTTTAACCAACATGAACCTTATAATGAATATTCATTCCCCAACTTTAATTTATAAGTCCCCGAAATTCAATTTCGGACATTTATCGGTAAAATCGTCAATACCGGTATTTGGGCCTCTCTTGACCAATCGGTCAACTCTGGACCTTTCCATGGTTCAAATGAATTATCCACCACCATATAATTATTATCTAGACTAAGATGAATAATTTATGTGGTCCCGGGAATATCGGGCGGCCCCCGCTTCCGGGCGGGCCTCACGTGCGAATTTACTATTCGTGCGAAAGAATTAATAAAAATTCGTAACATCATAATTTCTTTAACCATTCCATAAGGTTAAAATATAATATTCACATAAAAGTAAATACATTTGGGGACGGTGTTACAAGTTCACCCCCCCTTATTTGGGATTTCGTCCCCGAAATCCACATGTCTAATCGAAAAGAAACGGGTATTGCTCCCTCATTGAGACCTCAGTCTCCCATGTTTCTTCCTCGACCCGATCACTCCTCCAAAGGACTTTCACCATAGGAATCTCCTTGTTTCTCAATTTCTTCACTTGTTGTCCCACAATCTTCACCGGTTCCACCGCATATTGTAGGTCTTCGCGTATCTCTACCGGTGGCCTCTCAAGAATATGAGACGGGTCTCTCACGTATTTCTTGAGCATCGATACATGGAACACATCGTGTATCTTCTCAAGTTCCGGCGTCAACTTGAGTCGGTATGCTACGGCCCCTATCCTTTCAAGGATTTCAAATGGACCAATGTATCGGGGGTTAAGCTTTCCCCTCGATATAAATCGGATGATACCCTTCCAAGGAGAAATCCTTAGGAAGACCTTATCACCGACCTCGAATTCCAATGGCCTTCGTCGTTTGTTGGCATAGCTCTTCTGCCGATCTTGGGCAGCCTTGAGTCTATCCTGAATGACTTTCACCTTAGCCTTGGTGATTTCAACAAGTTCAATCCCCTCGAGCTTGGCCTCGCCAACCTCGTCCCAACATAACGGTGTTCTGCACTTCCTCCCATACAATGCCTCGTATGGAGGCATGCCGATACTCGCCTGATAACTGTTGTTATAGGCGAATTCGACTAGAGCCAAATGTTTGTCCCAACTTCCTTGGAACTCCAGAGCACACGCCCTAAGCATGTCCTCCAATATCTGTATCACTCGCTCGGATTGTCCATCCGTCTGTGGATGAAAAGCCGTGCTGAACTTCAATTTAGTACCCAAAGATGCTTGAAACTTGGGCCAAAATCGAGATGTGAATCGTGGATCCCTATCCGAGACAATGGATATCGGGACTCCATGTAGCCTCACAATCTCCTCCGTGTATAGTTTTGCCAATCTTTCAAGAGGGTAAGTGATGTTAATAGGCAAAAAGTGTGCACTCTTGGTGAGCCTATCAACTACTACCCATACTGCATCATAGTTGTTCACGGTCCGCGGCAACCCCACCACGAAATCCATAGTCACATGCTCCCATTTCCATTCTGGAATGGAAAGTGGCTGTAATAACCCAGCTGGATGCTGATGTTCTGCCTTAACTTGTTGACAAGTAAGGCATCGACTGATGTACTCGGCTATCTCTCTCTTCATACCGGACCACCAGTAACTTTCCTTCAAATCACGATACATCTTCGTGCCCCCCGGGTGCATGGCATAAGCCGATGAATGAGCTTCCTCTAAGATGGACTTTCGGAGCTCATCATCTGCCGGCACACACACTCGGTCACGAAATAATAAAAGACCGTCATCTCTTTCCCTGAAGTCCTCCACCGATCCCGCTTGCATACGTTCCCGGATCTTCATGATTTCCTCATCAGTTTCCTGACCCTTCTTGATCTCATCAAGCAAGGTAGGTCTCACCTCAAACCGTGCCAATAAGGCACCATTACTGGACACCTCCAGTTGGGCTCTTAATGCCCTCAAATTAGCTATCAATGCCCCAGATGAGCTCTTCCGGCTCAAAGCATCTGCCACCACATTTGCCTTGCCTGGATGGTACTCAATCACTAGATGGTAGTCCTTTATCAACTCCATCCACCGTCTCTGCCTCATGTTTAACTCTTTCTGAGTAAACACGTACTTCAAGCTCTTATGGTCAGTGTATATGTGACATGTCTCTCCGTAGAGATAATGTCTCCAAATCTTCAGTGCGAACACCACTGCCCCGAGCTCTAAATCATGAGTAGGATAATTTACCTCATGCTTCTTCAACTGTCGTGAAGCATAGGCGATTACCCTCCCCTCTTGCATTAACACACATCCAAGCCCTTGGATGCTCGCGTCACTATAGACATCGTACCCCATACCCTGTTTGGGTAATGCAAGTACCGGTGCCTCAGTCAATTTCTTCTTCAGTTCAGTGAATCCTTCCTCACATTTTTCATCCCATACAAACTTAGCTCCTTTTCGAGTGAGCTTCGTCAGCGGTGATGCCAAAACAGAGAACTTCTCCACGAACTTTCTATAGTATCCTGCCAATCCAAGGAAACTACGAATTTCCTTGACGTTTTTTGGCCTCTCCCATTCGGTGATGGCTTCTATCTTCTTGTTATCAACAGCGATTCCCGATCCCGAAACCACATGCCCGAGAAAACCAATCTCCTTAAGCCAAAATTCACATTTAGAAAATTTAGCATAGAGTTGCTTCTCCCGTAGTGTCTCAAGAACGAGTGTCAAGTGCTCCTTATGCTCTTCCTCACTCTTTGAGTAGATCAAGATGTCATCAATGAACACAATCACGAATCGGTCCAAGTATTTGTGAAATACTCGGTTCATCAAGTCCATGAATGCCGCCGGGGCGTTTGTTAACCCAAACGACATAACAAGGAACTCAAAATGCCCATACCTCGTGCGGAAAGCACTCTTCGGTATGTCATCCTCCTTAATCTTCAATTGATGGTACCCCGACCTCAAGTCAATCTTTGAAAACACGGTTGCTCCTCGTAGTTGATCAAACAAGTCATCAATCCTAGGCAAGGGATACCTATTCTTGATTGTGACCTTGTTCAGTTGACGATAGTCATTGCACATTCGAAGTGTTCCATCCTTCTTTTTCACAAAAAGGACTGGTGCTCCCCACGGGGAGTGGCTTGGTCTAATGAAACCGTTATCCAAAAGCTCTTGCAATTGGGTTTTTAACTCGTTAAGTTCAGCGGGTGCCATACGGTATGGCGGTATGGAGATTGGTTTGGTGCCGGGCTCGACTTCGATCACGAACTCAATCTCCCTATCGGGTGGAAGTCCCGGTAAGTCTTTTGGAAAGACGTCCCGATACTTGCATACTACCCTAACATCATCAATGCTCGTCTCTTCTTTGGTTTTGTCCACCACATACGCTAGATATGCGTGACATCCCTTCCTCATCATATTCTTAGCCCTCACAGCGGATATGATACAACTATTGGATTTTGCCCTATCCCCCTCGAAGCGTAGGGTCACCCCTTCATTGCCTTCGAGTTCAAGTACTTTCGTGTAACAATCGACCCTAGCATGATGCTTCTCAAGCCAATCCATCCCCAGGATTGCATCGAACTCAATCATACTCAGCGGCACGAAATCACACGACAAGTTTTGGCCCTCCACTTCCACCTCACACGATGGATAGTGGCTATCTCTCTCGATGTCTTCCCCTAGGGGTGTGGATACCAATAGGGCTTGAGTCATCGGTACCAGGGGTACGTTGAATCCCCCGGCGAATGCCTCACTCACAAATGATCGTTGCGCCCCGGTATCGATGAGGATTCTCGCACATCTCCCATTAATCTTTAGTGTTCCTACATTTATAAGCCATGTAAGATACCTCTCTAACATACCGACCAATCCTACGAAGAACATAATGCGAAATTATGTCCTTAAAGTGGGCAAAGTCCCCCAATTATGGTTAACGTTCGCAGTTGAGATATAAATTGACACTGTCTCACCGTTTTGATCATATCTCTTCACATACTTAACCAAATCGTTCGATTCAAATTCCATCATTTAGACAATGAAAATATCTACAACTTTCATGAAGACAACTTTTTCATTTGACGAACACTTCGAGGTGTACCCGGTCGGGTAACATACTATACCCGGTCGGGTATAGGTTCCAGTGGGTTCGGGCAGAATTTTTTTGACAAACCCGGTCGGGTATAACACCATACCCGGTCGGGTATGTGTTCCAGTGGGTGTCGGGAAGAAATTTTTGACAAACCCGGTCGGGTATACCACCATACCCGGTCGGGTATGTGTTCCAGTGGACTTATGAGTGCAAAAACTTGTCCTACCCGGTCGGGTTCATTACCAAACCCGATCGGGTATGCGATCCAGAAGGTTTACGAGGGCAAAAACTTGTCCTACCCGGTCGGGTTTATTGCCCTACCCGGTCGGGTAGTAGCATGGTTTTGCTCTCCTTTCCCATTTCAATCTTACGTCCGCTCCCGCCTGGATTCTAGGATTTATAACTTCAATTTATGGATGAGGAATGGGTAAAATACGGGAAGTTAAGCGGTCATACCTGCAACCGAATCTGGGTTAGCTCGGGCATCCGCCTCCGTCATTGCGTAGACCCTTGCTTGGGTCCTTCCTTGGTTAACGGACGGCGCATTGCTCGTGCTTGCTCCCCCTTGGCCCGTACTAGCATGAGGTGCTCCGGTTCGGCTCCTACTTGCCGTAGTAGCGCCGCTTGATCCCGCTCCTCGGTTCCTACCAAGTTGAGGGCAATTTGGCTTAGTATGCCCCGTGTCCCCACATTGGTAACACCGTGGTGGATCACGACACTTCGGCGTGGCTCCGGTTGCAATTTCTGCACCTGGGCGCCGTTGAGGCTTGTGAGCCCGAGTTGTGCCCGCCGAAGGCCGAGTTTCCCTTGGATGGCGGTGCCGGCGCTCTGAACGATCCCCCTCCCCCGTGGTTCCCCTTTTTGTTAGAACCTTGGGGGCCATGGTTCTCCCATTTCCTCTTCTTCGCCTCTTCGGCGTTCCTTCGCTTTCTTTCCTCCCACTCTTTTTCTCCCTTCAAGCCTTGTTCAACCACTTGACTAAACGTCATATTAGGCAATTGTGTTGCCCTCTCGCGTATGTCAAGGTCTAAGGCATCCCAGAAATGGTTCACCATCCGGTTTTCGTCACAAATGTACTCCGGTATGAACTCAGCAAGTTTCCTGAACTTGTGCTCAAGTTCCTTCACCGTGCATTCCCCTCCTTGGGTCAAATTCGTGTACTCCCTCCTCTTCAAGTTCACCTCGAAGTCGGAGTAGTATTGGCTAAAGAATTCTTGCCTAAAGTTCTCCCAAGTGACGGCCTCGCCGTACTTCCCTTTGACTCCGTCCCACCACGTGGACGCCATGCCTTCAAGCAATCTTGTTGCCACTCTCATCTTCATGTGGGGTGGCAGTTGCATGTCAAGGGCCGCTTCATTGAATCTCTTGATCCACTCGGCCGCCACGGAGATGTCTCCCGTTCCATCAAACGGTTTACATCCCAAGTCTCTCGCCTCCTTTAGGTACTTTGAGATTCTTATGATAGGAACCTCAGCACCTCGACCTCCTCGGAGTTCAATGCTCTCCCTAGGAGTCGCGCGGCTTCCTCTCCTCGAAGCCCCTTCCAAAGCACGCCTTGCCCGGCGCCTTTGGCGATCTTGTTGATATTGCCGGAGCAATTCCTCAATCCGTTCAAGAGCGATATTATCATCACTCTCATCACTATCATCGTCGTGTTCCCCATCATATGGGGTCTCAACCGGCTCAGTTCCCGGTTGGTAAGTTGAATCCTCCTCGGACTCATAGTGTTCATCTATTGTTTCCACGTGACCGTCACTCACGGTCAACGAATGGCCTGCACGGCCCTGTCCCCTAGACTCTCTTGATCCCCCCCGACTGCCACGTTGGGATCCTCCCAGTGCCTGGCCAGTCGGGTTCCGTCGAGTAATTCTACCGGTACGTTCCATTTCTGAAAGAAGTTTAGAATGAGCCATTAGACTCGTATCAAATGTCAAGTGACGGATAGGTACTTAAAGACATCTTTTGGCTCAAATCACCGTCATACCAATTGTTAAGGGTACCATCTTAACAATTAGAGACCTTGCAACTCAAGTACCAAAAGTTCTATAAGTACAAAACTTTATGCTCATGGGTTTCAAATTCGTTTTTTTTCAAAAAGAGATTTTGAAGCTTCATTATGAAGTTTACGGACTAAGGCTCTGATACCAATTAAATTGTCACGCCCCGGACCTACCGGACACGTCAACAACCCGCCGTACAGTACGAATAGTCAACCGCAGTCCAACTCATCCATACTATACTAGGCGTCTTGAATACCATTCACACATAGTACATCCATAAACAATCATAACGTAAAAGATTTAATTAAGCAGCGGAAACATAATTACAAATATTCAAGCCACACGTGGCAACCACGGGCATACAAGCCCCCAAATAAATATTCGAAATAATATCCATGAGCATTATTTAAATTGTTTTCAAAACAGAAACAGGAGAAGTACGAACCCCGCCTTCCTCCTTGAATTCCCCGAAGCAACGAGTGGTAGTAGCAAGCTCTACTCCCTACCTGAAACTGTGAGGTGGCCTCCCCCGTGAAGGGGAGGTCAGTACTTGGAAGCATTTGACAAGTACAATGACAACTATACTAAGTATAATCAAAGTTTCAATTTCCAAGACCCTCAATCCAAGATGTTATTCATTTGTACTTAACTCATGTTCCTTCATGCTAGAGCTCGGCTCATAGTCATGCTAAATTGTGCTAGAGCTCGGCTCATAGTCACACTACATTCGCTAGAGCTCGGCTCATAGTCATATATACTAAAATTGTGCTAGAGCTCGGCTCATAGTCACCCTACGTTTGCTAGAGCTCGGCTCATAGTCATACTAATTTGTGCTAGAGCTCGGCTCATAGTCACCCTACGTTTGCTAGAGCTCGGCTCATAGTCATGCTACCACGTGCTAGAGCTCGGCTCATAGTCACGTCAACTAATCCCTAAACCACTTCTTAGTCTAGGTTCCATCCATTTTGAGTAACCCTTAAGGCCTACTCCAAATGTAACTTAAGTTCATAATAATTTGAATATCTCAATTAAATTCCACATTCAAGTATAACTTGGCTCTAATATCAAAATATCACTTTTATCCTTCCATGACTTCCTTACATGAGGTAAAAGTATATTTATCACAATTTAGTTTATAGTTTACACAACTATTATACCATTGTATTCATAACACATAATCATACACAATTTATTCATAAATTTGTATATTATGCATTTTTGCTTATGAACAATAAAAATCTCATTTAGGCATTTTATTATTATAAATACATCATGCCAAACACATATAATTCATTTAGGTAATCTTATGAAATTAACCCAATAATTATAAGCAATATAGTCGGTCATCCTCACCTCGAGTGAGCTTAAGCGCGTTCTCCGCTTCCCGGTGGAACTTTGACCAACTCCGGTGAACTTTGACCAACTCCGGCGAAACTCCGGCGAGGTTCAAAAATGCTTAAGTCAAGTCCCTAACAAGGTTTTAACATCATAAAACCTTAATCAATACAAATAACCTCTAAGGTTATTTTCCGGTAAACCGGTCGTTTTGACTTCTAAATCCGTTCTTGGACCTAGAACCACTTTCCAACCCATCATTCTACACTTAATCATGTAGAACCATTCTCAAGGGTCTTCATATGATATATATCTCATATGATAGAAGAAAAATAAAGGAAAAGTTAATATAAGGTCTTTACCTTAACCCTTCTCACTTTCTCCTCACTTTTTCCTTCTCAAAGACCTCCTTTTGGACTCCTTAAGCTTGAGCTCTCTTCAAAGATGGAGAATGGAGGATGGAAAATTACTCTTGCTTCTTTCTTGGGTGCTGGCCGAGATGGGGGGTGAGGGAGAGAGGGGTGAGATTTTCTTTTTTGGCTTTCTTGCCAAATGAGTGAGGATGGGGTCCTTAGGATGTCAAAATGGTCTCCCCCATCATCTCAAGGTTTTCAGACCTTGTTTGAGACAAATCAGCCTCCATTTTGTGGCCAAAATCGTGGGTTGGCCCCCACTCATGTGGGAGGTCAACCCCTTTTGTCCCGAAGTGTACAATCGGTCCCGAAAGTTGTATTTTTCGGACAGTTTTTGTTATATTTTATTTTATCGGGTCAAATAAAATATTTTACATGCTCTTTAACCAACATGAACCTTATAATGAATATTCATTCCCCAACTTTAATTTATAAGTCCCCGAAATTCAATTTCGGACATTTATCGGTAAAATCGTCAATACCGGTATTTGGGCCTCTCTTGACCAATCGGTCAACTCTGGACCTTTCCATGGTTCAAATGAATTATCCACCACCATATAATTATTATCTAGACTAAGATGAATAATTTATGTGGTCCCGGGAATATCGGGCGGCCCCCGCTTCCGGGCGGGCCTCACGTGCGAATTTACTATTCGTGCGAAAGAATTAATAAAAATTCGTAACATCATAATTTCTTTAACCATTCCATAAGGTTAAAATATAATATTCACATAAAAGTAAATACATTTGGGGACGGTGTTACATCGCCCAACACCTTCCTTCCACCCTATTTAGGTACACATGCTTCTCTTACAAACTAAATACTCCGTATTTAACTTTTTATTATTATTGATGTTCGATTCATGTATATTTTTTTATAGGGTTTGTTGGATTACCTTTAATTTGTGATAAAGCACGAATAATTTTTTCCCTTAAATTCTTAGTTTTGTAATGCCTATAAACTGTTTGTAGAAAAACCTTAGTCAATTTTTCAACTAAATGAGATCAAATTCGTTTTTTAGTTATCTTTAATGTGTTTAAATATGTTATTTCTTTTTCTTTCTATCTTTTTTATGTTTGCGAGGTGCGTTTAACACTTTCAGTATGTTTGAGATATGTATTTCATGCAGACTTTACAAAGCACATTCTGAATAAAAACAATGAATCACGTTGAATATACCTTACATAGGTCACCAAGTATCCTTACATGTTCTCCTTGAGCACTGGAACTCGGGGACACTAAGATTTATTGAAGACGATGTATCAAAGTTTCTGGTTCGTTCAATTAATATGTAAAAATTTCTCCCTATTATTTTCATTTCCGTAACCCTTAGAGAATAAGACAAAGAAAATTATGGGTCTTTTGAAATTGTGAACTATATAAACTTGAAACAAGGCGTAGATAATCTTTGCGTTTTTATTCTTACTTTCCGATCTAAGCGTTCTTTCATTTACTTGTGCAGGTAGAATCAGAAAAAGAGATACATCTCAATCTAATGGATTTGGAAGATCTTTCAATCAAAGAAGAAGAGGAATGCAAATGGATTTGAAGATGAACTAGACTTATCAAATGAACTAGACATATCAGATGGTGAACTATGTAAACAAAGTGTAATTTAATAATCTGATCGCCCAAAGGTGTGTTAACTTCCAACATATTACACTTGAGAATTTCTTATAATATGATTCGTTTGTTTCATAAAAGTGGGCAGATTGTTTTTTTGAAAGATACACACATAACTAGAAAAATGAGTATTTATTGAACATAAAGGACAAAAAGAGGCCTATAGAACACTTGCAAGATACTCCGTAACAAGTACTTGTTATCCTAAGGGTGCTTTATTGTATACAAATATCTAATAAGAATATTTATTGGACTGTTTAAGACGTTTATTTCAAGGATGACTTCGAGACTTCACTATTAGCTAGCTTATTCGCTTATACCTATTACATGTCTTGCGGACCCGGTGATTCATCGGATTTGTTTTAAAACGAACTAATTGTAGCGCTTTAATTTGGTATAAGTTGACTTTTTATTTTCGTGGGAGAATACGTGTCTAAATTGAACTGTTTTCATTGAAATATTCATTTACTTGGATCTACACAGACCTCTCTCATATTCATCGAATATACACAACATTTAAAAACCGATTCTATGTAATTCTAGGATTCATATACGAAGTATTAATCTGTACATTTAATTATATAGTTTCTTTAGTTGGTTACACTTAATTCCATTTGAATACAAAATGGGTGATTCTTAGAATGATGAATTCTAAACTATTTAGATGATTTACATGAATTTAAAGTTCAAAATTGATATATAGTAAAGGATTTTAAAGTGCTAGTCATTGAATTTTCATAGGGTCCAAGCTCGATTCGGGATCTTAATAAAGATGAGAAAATCCAACTAAACACTAACCTGTACTATCAATTCTCTATACCCTGTAAATTCCAATATAAGTTGTCTATTTTACTGTCAAAGCCAATAGTTTAGCTCCCATTTTGCCAGTTTAAATCCTCTGTGAGGTTTCTGAAGTGGCCTGGGTAGATGTACAAATTTATTTTGCAATGCAATATTGTTAGGGTATGAAATTTTTCTACAGAAATGCTAGAACTATTATTTGAAAAGAATTATGTTGTGTAAGTTCAATTATTTGTATTACTCAATAAACTTAGTTCAGGTTTTCGAACAGTTCAATATTGGAGCTCTTTACAATTACAAAAAAATTCAAGGTTTGCATTTAGAGGTAAGTTAACATACTGATCTTTGGTCGTTGAGACCTAGAGTTATTGTCATGTAAGAATGTTCTTTTTCTATATTCGAATGCTATTTTGTAGTTTCTAAATCTTTTTAAATAACTCTTTTTACTCTATAGTATCGCAGAATGTTGTTTTGCTCTCAGATTGTGCTTCACATTAATATTTGAGAATGGTATGTAATATTTGTTCGACAGTTTGAGAATAGTTGTGTACATTTTTTTAGTACATTAAAACTTGGAACTTTGCAAAGAATAAACTCTGAACCATATTTTTAAGAGTCTTAACTCCAATCCCTATCCGTACCTACCCTTATACTGATGTAGAAGTTTATATATATGGGTGCTAATGTTTTGAAGTATTTGCTTTACAGATAAGAAATTGATGCATATGGAGATGAAAAGAATGAAACCACATACTGGATGACATCGCCTTACAAAACGAGTTGAGAAATAGACATGGATTCCCCAAATTATGAGCAGTTTATTAGGATTTAGGGTTTTGTATAATATGTACATTTTTGTAGTTGATGTGTAATTTAGACTGGATAGATATATGGGTGCAATGTACTATAAATGTATCAAATTTGATATTTGTTGGTTATATATAAATGATTTAATTTTAATATTGTCTGTAATTTACATATTTATGCTAAAGTGTTACATTTGCTCAAGTAAAAATTGTTACATTTGTACTCAGATTTATGATAATGGGTTTAGTAACACTTTTGGTTTGTTTTCGAAAAGCGTTACAATTGATTTTAAAAATCGTTACATACCGTTACAATAGAGAAAAGGCAACGCCAGCGAATGTAACGCCATGAAACTGTTACATTTGAACGAATGTAACAGACTTTTAGACATACAGTAACGAATTTGAGTGTTACAAAAGGTCTTTAAATGTAGTAGTGATTGTAAGTTAAAAATAATAATTATGAGGCAAATTGAAGGGCAGATGCGAGAATTTGTAATTTATTGATAATCTTCTACTATGTCACGGGAAAAAGATGATCGTCTAGTAGTGTGTGGAGGATGCCAGGTGTCCTGAAGAAGACCTTGCTTGGGAGAAAACAACAACAAACAACAAACTTGATGATGATGACGACTTGGGAGAAAGCAGTTGGGCAAATTTATGGAAGTTATGAGCACTTTGAGTGAGATGGGATTGAAGAGGAAATTGAGAATAAGGAATGCTAGTTAGAACAAACTTCAGATGTGATTATTGTAGATTTGGCATGGATTCTTGTAGATGTGAGATTATTTTAAAGTTTTAGTTTTCTTTCGGACATCAAATATGTTGTTTCTCCCATTACAAACATGTTGTACTCTGTATTACATATGTATTGCAATAAAGTTGATGAAAGTGTTGAATATAAAGTATAAGGAGTAATACTTATAACATATTACGTATAAAAGTGCTATATATATATATATATATATATCTAAAAACAGTTGCATAAAGTATTCATATAAGTGTTGCATAATATAACCTAGTATTACATACAAAAGGATCTAATAAACATGTTACATAAAGATCATAAAAATGTTACAAAAAGTAGGAATCAGGCGTTGCATTTAATTTTAAAAAGTGTTACATAAGATGATAGTTAAGCTATTGCAAAAAAGTGTTGCATTTGATTTTTTATGCAACAATTGTATTTAGTGTTGCATAAAATGGGAAAAGTGTTGCATATGACTTTATGCAACGAGATCTGAAGTAACGCCCATGAAAGTGTTGCGTTAGCCTTTTGTAACATTTTAACTATATAAGTTAACATTTTATACGTGTTACAAAAAGTCTATTTTGTTGTAGTGCGAAGTTGTAAATTTTTATTATTTCCTTCACGTGAATAGTAAATTGCACATGGGACCCACATCGGGAGCGGGGGCCGCCCGACATTCTCGAGACCATATATTTTATTCATCTTGGTCTAGATAATAAATATATAGTGTTGGATATTTCATTTGGGCCATGGAAAGGCCCAGAGTTGACCGATTGGTCAAAAGAAGCCCAAATTACCGGTACTGGTAATTTAACAGATAACAGCCCGAACTGAATTTCGGAGGCTTATAAATTATAGTTGGGGAATGTATATTCATTATACATGTCATAATGAGTAAGAGCACATAATATATTTTATTTGACCCGATAAAATAAAATATATTTAAAACAGTCCGAAAAATACAACTTTCGGGACCGATTGTACACATCGGGACACAAAGGGATGACCTCCCACATGAGTGGGGGCCATCCCACGTTTTATTCAGCTCAAATGTGACCCTTGGGGGCTGCAAAGACAAGGGAATTGAAGGTGGGAGGAAGGTCAACCATGAGGTAGGATGGGACCCTTTCCCCACATAATTGGTGAGATGAGCCAAAAAGGCCATCCTATCACCCCCTCACCCCATTAGCTCGACCAGGACACCCAAGGGAGAGAAGAAGAGCTTCCAAACTCACCTCCATTTCTGAAAATTCGAGCTCAAGCTTTAGTGGTCCAAGGAGGAGGATTTAAGAAGGCAAAAGTTAGGAAAAGTGTGAATAATTAAGGTAATGACCTTATTATAACTTCTCCTTATTTTTTCTTCTACCATATGAGGTATATATCATGTGAAGGACCCTTAGTATGGTTCCACATGTTATAAGTATGGATTTATGGGTAGGAAGATGGTTCTATGTCCAAGAACGGACTTAGAGACCAAAACTACCGGTTCACCGGAAAATAACCTTTTGAGGTTATTTGTATTAATATGAGTTTTATGATTATAAAACCTTGTTAGACACTTGTAAAGGGTATTTCAAGTGATTTCAAAAAGTTGGAAAAGTCGCCGGAGTTGTCGCCGGAGTTGACCAAAAGTCGCCGGAGTTTCACCGGAGTTCAACCAAGAAGGGTAGAACTTCATAACGCTAGTTCAAGGTGAGTGGACGGCTTAATATCTTATAACTTTTGGGTTAATTATGAGATTACCTAAATAAATGTTATATGAGTTCATAATGATGTTTAAAAGATATTTAAACATGTGATTAGCCAATAGGGTTAAGTTTGTATGAAAGAAATTAATTGTTGATGCATGGAATATGATATGAAGAATTATATGAAATGCATATTTGTTTGAAGTGTATTAGAAGCACAAATGAATATTATTAACTTAATTATATGATGATTAAGTTGATACACACAAGGCATGAAATGGCGGTCAACGAAAACGTCGACCGATGGACAAAGGATTTAATTAATACCGGTTGGTATTAATTAATTATAAATCTATATAAATGCATGGTTTCGCATGGGTTGTGATACATAAGCTTTATGTATTGAATTAGTTATGAGTAACTAAGTATGATATAGACTCTATCTAGGTTGATAGAAGGTTGATCATAGGAAAATATTTTGGTGGAGGACCCTAGTACTTAAAAGTACTTAACACTCAAAATTTGGTAGAGGACCCTAGGACTTAAAGTCCTTAACACTCGGATTATAAATTGGTGGAGGACCCTAGTACTTAAAAGTACTTAACACTCAAAATTTGGTGGAGGACCCTAGTACTTAAAAGTATTTAACACTCAAAACTTGGTGGAGGACCCTAGGACTTATGAGTCCTTAACACTCGGAAAACAAAATTGGTGGAGTACCCAAGGATTATGATCCTCAAAACTCATAGATTATGATATTGAGATAGGGACAAGGAGGAGTCCTATACACTCATAGGTATATGGGCGGGTTGGGGTTTTTAGTCAAGAATATAGACTATTACTATTTTTCCCAAATAAAACGGTGATCTACGGATCAGATATTTTCCAAGTATATACATACTAATAAGTATTTCAAAACTTGGGGGAAAGACTATTTATATAAGTATCACCCTATGTTTGGGTCTTATACTTGAAACGCTGGTTATTCTATATTTAGCCTGCTACTCGCTCGGTACTTGTACTGACCCCTTCGGGGGGGGGGCCCACCATTTTCAGGTTGAAGCTAGGGCTTGCTACTTGCACCTTCTTACGGGTGATATCAACTTCAGGGAGACGTGGTTCGTGCTTCCTTATTTTCTTTCAAACTACTGAACATATGCTCATGGATATTTGTTCTACTATAAACTATTTTTGGGGCTTGCATGCCCATGTTGTTGGCCGGTTGTGGCTTATGACTTACCGTTGAATATTTCCGCTATTCATGGGTTTAAATGTGATGTTGTTATGTATGTTTACTACTGAGTATGGATGGATTATATTCTCGAACGCCTTGTGTAATTAAGTGAGGTTGACTCGCGGGTGACGTCGCTTGATTATACGGAGGTTGTACACGCGCTTGGATTGCGGTCTGGGGCGTGACATTAAAAGTGTAAATACACTTTAGTTCCATGTAGCAAGGTCTAAAAAGTGTAGAAAGTGTTCACTACAAAAGACCACTGCAACCAAGTTTCAAAAAGTGTAGAATATATAAGAGCATTGCCACCAACTTCCAAAAAACTAGTAAATTACTAGTATATCATAGCACTACTGCAAAGTGAACATGAACCAATGTGGCAAAAATATATTAATTACCTTGCCAGCGGATTCACGATGTTCTTCTAAGTCAGAATACTAAAATATCCTTTAATCTTCCTTGTATAGCTACGACTTGAAATTTGTACTATGTTGGCCTACAGACTTCTTCGCTCCAGTTTGAAAGTTTGGGGGAAGGAATGCGAATAATAATAGGCCTTGGTTGGTCGTTTGTTTTTCTGAAAACTAACGGACTAACCCGTCAGTTACTAGGGTGTCCACAAATTACCTAAAAGTTGAATTATGGGTTTACTTGATCTATTCAAAAAGTTGGTGTCCACTTTGAGCTTTGTAAATAACCTTAGTGTCCATTTTGTAAATAACCTTGGTCTTTGTAAAAATGACGAACCGCTGAAAAATGAACGACAACACAATCCTGACGTAGTGTCTAGTCATTTAAAGTTCTGGCTGTATTGCCTGAAGTTACTGTAGATGATCATTTTAGCTATTTTTTCATATAATTTTTTATTTTATTTATTAATAACAAATATTTTAAATACAATTTTCTCATAAATCAGCAGAATCAGCCAATACAACCACTTCAGCCAGAACTTCATAAATTTCAGCAGAATCAGCCAATACAGCCAATTTTAGTGTTACCAAACGGGCTCTAAATAAGATGATTACATGTACATAGTATCTAGTGTTTTACTCGGGCGTTGCCCCCGGTGGATGTTGGAAATGTTTGAATATTTTGTAAAATATTTATTTTATACCATATACAGATAATTTATAATTTGACTTTATAATTTGTCCTAAATAGGACTAAAGTTTCCCTAAGAAACACAAATAGAACAACTACTTTTTAAATTCTCTCCAGTGGAGAACCAAAGTATGAGATTGTATTTGTAATACTTTAGAAGATATGTGTAACTTTTAAATTGTTAAGATTACTCTAACCGTATTTATGTTATCCAACTGTAATTTAAAGCAATATACTATTACCAAATGTCACACGATTTCTTTATGGTGTTCAAACAAGAGCTAAATAATTAGTTCATGGACAGTCCGATTTCCGTTATAAAACAGTAAAACTGGATCTTTTTATTTGGAGATCTAGTTGGTTTTCTTCTCATTGCAATCTGATTGAAAATATGTTCAAACCTGTTATTGTTCTTCTAAAACAGAATAAATGGGCTTGATAGTTCTCAAAAGGATTAAAGAACAAATATACTCTTTTACGATATATCATGGAGCATGCCCTCTTATTTTTTAGTTAAAAAATGTCACGGCTAACTATTTTGTTTTACAAGTGCCCTTCCATTAAATCCGAATTCCATAAGATTTCTTTAATTGAAAGCAAAATCTGAGAATGGATAGATGGGTGAAGCCATAGATATGAACATAGAAGGTTGTTGCTGAGAATCAATGCAAGCAATTTATTTAATTGAAAGACACTTGATGGTAAATCATTAAACTTAAAAGTTATGCAAGGTTCCCTTGAGTGAGATGGCAAAAAATATTGGAAGCCAAACACTTGAATAAATAGTCAATGAAGAAAAAAGGACAAAGATGTGATAGTAGGAAAAATGAGGCAATGCAAATTCGTTATAGGATTATGCTTTATGAGAGGCGGAGGTGGTGGTCATCCTTGGATTGAAATTTTGTGTTGCTCTTATTCAAGTGTATGAGTTGCAAATCAGGAAATTGAAAAAAACAAGAGCCTGCGACTTGGTTATACTCTAAAATAATAAGAAAAGAAATTATGACGAAAGCATTCCCACTGTGATTCTGGAAATTTGGTAAAATAGTCAAGTAATTACTTGGGTGACTCTACGGTGTAAAATAGGCCACACAAGGTTCAATTAATACGGAGTATTCAGAAAAGCTTTAACAACGGCTTTCAAGATACCCAAGCCATACAGCTGCTCAGTAACGTTTCTGTAGCATAATTTACATTAGAATCAAATTTATAAGAGCTGACAAACGGCCTATTGTATGGGCTCTTTAATTTAGATGGTGTCATAAAAGTTACTGAAGTACTGATCAAATGTTCATCAAGCTTCTCTGAACTGTAAGTGCAGTTGATCAGCTATCCCACGTAAAGATCCAAACCATATAGGTTCAAGTACTATCTTCATGGCTGCACGTAAAAACGTTGGCAATTTCTGCAAAGTATATGCTCAATACATTAACCACAATAATTGGAAATTTATTTAAATGCTTATCCATATAATGAAGTTGAGAACATCTTCTAGATGTATTATTTCTCTATTCAAAAATAGGTTTAAGTTTCAGATGCTCTCTTCCTCTTTGAGATTAAGGCTCTTGACATGTTTCAAGGTATATTTCAAGTCATTGTCAATGTAAAAACTAAGATTAAAATTTAAAAGAATGGGAAAATTTCCAAAATAGGAGTAAAAACGTACTTATTTCCTGAATTAAAAACTACGTACTACCGTGTTTTGGCATTAACAAGCATTACTTTAAGAATTTTCCAAAGAGAGAGTTGGGAATTGCTACCGTCATTTGATTCACAGCCTGCCCGAGGTAGGCGGTATCCATCACCATAAAACGGCACCAGGCTCAACAAACTTGTGGAACCCGTCGCTTTTAGGATGTTTGACCCAACCTGGAAGAGCTCCACAATTTTCACAGTCACCCCCAGAATCACAGGGCCCTAAAATGCACCAGAAAAGGAGGGTGAGAGTGATTTGGCCGCCAGTCTTCTCTTGTTTCCCCTCTAATTCCGCAAAAAAGAGCGTATCATCATCAGCACTTCCATTTTCAGGCCTAGCAATAAAGTTGCAATGATAGAGGAACGTGTGACGAAATAGAGATGGGCAGCGGATACACTGCAGTGGCTCAACAAGCTTGTATTTGGGACCCTGCATAGTGAAATCACAAGGGGAATGGGGTCTTAGACACACACCAAATGCATTTCAGGACCGCCCGAACACTGATCAAATTAACTAACCTGTTCCTCCTCATTGATGCGTGATAGCGCAGACAATGCACACTGATGTGTCTTACAACCAGCCCATCCATTACCGATGTATACTACTGAGCGAGGAGGGCCTAGACTTCCGGTGGCGCTTCCCTTTCCCCTTCCTCTGCCCCACCTCCAGTAGTCAAAATCATTTATTATAAAGATCAAATTTCAGTGATGGCAACACGATACAGAGGGATTGAAATTGCAAATCAAACAAGTAAACAATGGGTTGCAGGAGAAATCGAGCAACCACAACTCAATAACGGATCAATAAAAAGATCTAGAAATTGAACTTACCCACGTTTGATCACAGATTCCTTGAAAATCTTCGTGCCCGTCCTCATCCACAGAGCCTTCGACCTCACATCTTCACCCCCGTCCTTGGGTTTCGCCTTCCCCGTACTCCTTGTATTCATCGATTCCGAAACTGTCTATCCCGATGCCGATGGACTCGTATATACAATGCAAGAGGGCGAATTATATATTATTATTATTATAGGGTTAGACGGGGTTACTACTTCCTTGAGAAATATCGGATCGTTAATGGACGAAATTAACCACTCAACCCACCTCTCCTACGGATACTACTGTTTTTAGGACATGTTTTTCAGTCCGAGATCATACCCGCCAGATTTGAACAGTACTAAAGTCTTTTAACTACCCTCTAACTTTGTCCCGTTTTACATTTTTCGTCCGTACCATTAAGGGTCCGTTTTGTAGTTTACTCATTAAAACTTTACATGCAAAATGATTGCATGTAAAGTTTAGGGCAGTAAAATAATTTACATGTAAAATAGAACACGTCATTTGGTTATGTGTGTAATCTATTTTTAAATTACACACAAACTCTTTACATTGTTTGTTTAACCGGCTTCATATACTACAGTACATACGTATAATATACATAAAATATACATATAATGTGTATATATATACAATATATATATACAAAAACAAAAAAAAATACACCAACGTTTCTTAAAAACTAAGCAACTCCCGCAGTATAACTTTTAGATTCAATTAAACATCAAATCTCAGAAATAATTGGAAGTATAGAACCTGTTGGTTAACGTGGATATATGGAGAGCAGATTCAAAGCGTAGAACCTCTTGTTTTCTCAAGTACTCGTACTACGTAGGAGGACAAAACCTACCGACAATATTTTTGCTTTGCTGCTACGTTACGATGGAGTCTTCAGAGCGGCTAGGGTTTAAAGTAGTTTACTACCCTCTCCCCATGTAAAATATTTTACATGGTACGGTGTAAAGTGTGGTTAAAAAAGTGCCCTACAGTTTACATTAAATAGTTAAAACAAATAGTGTAAAATGTTTACTTCCCCACACTTTACACGCAAAGTGTTTACTTTACATCGTAACAAACGGGTCCTAAGTTTGTCCTATACCGTAATTCGTAATATTTGAGTAGTTAGAATTCATTCTTACTTAATTCACACTTTATCAATTCAATACCAACCACTCAATTCTACTTTTTCTTAATAACCACATCACACCCCTTTGTCCCAAACATAAGGGGACGGAGGTAGTATTACGGAGTATATATATTAAAAATAAAGCTAAAGTATTCATATTTCAAAGAGTATAATAAAATTTAGGGAAAACTGTCAAATAAGTACATCTACTTTTACTAAAAAGTCAATTGAGTCCACATACTTTTTAATGAATCAATTAAGTCCATGAAGTATAAAAAAAATTAATCAAATCGTCCATTTGACCGGTAATCACTCGGTTTCCCGGTCAGATCGTCCAGCTGTTTTTTTATTTATTGTTTTCCAATTTTTTATATATTCTTTTCCTTTTTATTTCTTTTTTTATTCTTTTTCTCTTCTTTCTAGTTTCTCCTCCACTCCCTTCCCAGCCTTTCTCCGCTTCCATTCCCTGCTTTCTTGTTTCACGCCCCACCTCCACTTGCGGTCTCATTCTACCACTTTCTCCATGTCAGCCGCCCCACCTCCAAACCACCGCCGTGACCTCCACCGCCCTGTCCTCTATCACCACCACCACGTATCGCCTGCGGCCTCCACCTACGCTCCTTCTATTGAAGCGACCTCCAACCACCTTCGCTTCCACCTTCGCCTCGCCCACCTCTGCGGCTTCACCTTCGTCTTCTCCATTGGAGCGACCTGCAACAGCTGCCCCGACTTCCATGGCCACCACCTCCACAGCCTCTCCTCCGCTGCCACTGCTACCTCCATAACCGCCACTGCTACCTCCATAACCGCCACCGCCACCGCCCCAGCCTCCATAAACTGGTGGATCGGCATAGGGGAGCAGATTGAATGACTATTGTAAACAAAGCTCCACTCCTGCTAGAGTTATAGTAGACGCAGGGAACCGAGGAAAGAAAAACGAATTAAAAAAATTTATAAAAGTAGAAAATATTAATAAAAAAGCCAATTGGGCGATCTAACCGGAAAACCTAGGGATGACCGGTCAAATGGACGATTTGGTTAATTTTTGACAGTTTGTGGACTTTATTGATTCATTAAAAAGTATGTGGACTCAATTGACTTTTTAAGAAAAGTAGATGGACTTGTTTGACAGTTTTTCCTAAAATTTAAAAGAGTAGACTAAAAATAAAACTAGAGTATTGATATTTCAATCAAAATAATATTTCATTCGCTATTTGTATTTACACTCTTTTAACAAGAATCATTTCAATTAATCAAGACACAAATTGAGAAATTCAAGTATTCCAAATATCTTAACCAATGTTCCACATTACCTGGTTGCATGGGCGCCTAGAATATTTTCATTGGGTCGTGTATGAAATCACAGTTATATGACAAGATACGCGTATATGTTCACGAATACGTGTATCAGAAGTATTTGTATTTCTAAAAACAAGTCCAATACTTTCATTGAATTATGGATACAGACCCAATAATTACATAACACGTAGCAATGAGTATCAGTATCAGATGCGTATCACATACGAGGATACCGCATCAGGGTGAAGTATCGGTGCACCATGGGAAAGGTCTATTTCATCTTTTTTCCCTAAATAACTTTTAAAAGAGCGTATTCTATATGGAATTATGGATTGATTACTACTTTTTAAATTCTCCCCAGTAGACTAATCATTGATTTATACCCTAAATAACCCTAAGGGTAATAATTCATAATGAAATGTTTTAAATCATAATAAAATAGTAAAAAATAATTAAAATCGTAAAAAATATTAAAAAAATTGTAAAAAAGGAATAAAATATTTAAAAAACAAAAAGTTTTAACATTTTTTTTTTCATTTTTAAAATTAATAAAATATAGTTAAAATCCATAAAAAATATGGATACCTTTCCCATTGCGTCTCAGCACCACCACCTCCGTTCGGCGAAAATTCCGCCATTGTGTAAAATATTCCATTTTACTCAAAATGCCAAAAAATGGCAATATTATTCTTCATTGAATCTGCCATTATTATGGCATTACTAAAAAATGTTGCCAAATTATCTCCGGTGATGGGAGTTAGTGGTGGCAGAGGCGGCAGTGTTTTATTTTACGTTTTTTTAATTTTCAAATTTTAATTTAAATTTTTTATAAATTTTTATACATAAATAGTCCTATTTACGATTTTATTATTAATTAAAACATTTCAAAAGCTACAAGGGTATATTTGTCCAAATATACATAAATAGTCCTATTGGGGGAGTGTATAACATGTAGTCCTATTTGTGTGCTCATTGGCCATTTTTTTGTCCTATTTAAGTAATTTACTCATTTTACTTCAAATAAACTTTTGTTCGTTGTGGATAATAATTTAACTGAAGAGAGAATTAAAAATTGACATTGTAATGTAACATTACACACCAAACATCAAATTTTTAGGCTTTGGGAAACCTCTTTATAAACAACATACACCGTCTTAGTGAAGAAATTTGTTTCTTTTGAAGGTAAGAGTATGTTACGATGTCTTTGCTCATTACATTTGGTATTGCAATGTACAATTGACCACTAATGAAACTTAATTATATCTCGAGGTATAAATCAAATTTTTGTTATAACATCTAACCTTAATTTTTATTGATTTTCATTACACAGCTTGTGAGCACATGAAGTTACTTTCTTAGGAAATTGAATAAAGGTGTCATATGCAACCATGAGAATCTCAATATGTAAACTTTATCTTTCATAGCTTTTCGAGTTATGACTTATCATACTTCCTTCGGTCAGGTTATGACCAACCACATTCCATTGAATACAACTTTTGCGCGATTGAAATTTCTCAATACCATTATTGGGGCTCCGATTTTCAAATGGAAGACATGATTTGGCAATTCAGCCATTGAAGCGCTATTACGATAGTCGACAGTGTACATATCAATATGGACTTGAAGGTAATACCAGTGTGCGAAGGGATAATATTAATTGAACTCAGATATGTAACTCTTAAGCTATCGATCAATGGAAGCCTTTAGTTATATACTTATGTCATTAATAAACGTAGACACAAGCTTTTTTGACATGAGCGTAAACACAAGCTAGAATCCCTCTTTCTTATAGCTATATAAATATATATGTTGCTTCACTTAATATATCACAAAAATCGTAATATGGGCTTTCAACTATAACTATAAGAGGATATTACCCAAAATAAGACTAAAAAAGTTTGAAAATTCCAAAATAGGACTGCCATGTTTTTATTCCCAAAATAAGACTAATTACTGCCATGTTTTGGTAGTACCAGACTTCGAACATGACAATATTTTCCAATTCCTTGGCAATAATTACTCCTATTTTGAGAAATAAAAAAACACGTCTCTCCTATTTTGAAATTTTCAAATTGTTTTAGTCCTATTTCAAGAACTTTCCCTAACTACAAAGCTTTAGACATAAACAGTCTTGTGATTCCATTTATTGGAACAAAATTATGCAAAATTAATATTTATACTACCATTGTTCCTATACATTTCAACGTGTTGTTTTAACTCTAGTCACATGTTTTACTTTGACTATATTTTATTTATTAATGTATTAGACATTTTGTGAAAAGTATTGTTCAATTTGTGTCGATTTAAATTGGAGAAAATCTCTCTCTTTAAATTTTTTACTTATATCGAATATTAATAATCAAAATAGTGTGTTGGTAAATATGAAAATGGAAGTATTGTAATTAAAAAAGAATGGAGAAAGTATAAAAGAGAATGTTTTTTGAAATATATATAAGCATTATTTACTTCTTAATTATAATATTATATTTTATTAGTATTATTTCAATTCTTTAATTTGAAAATCTCAATTGGTATGTTTAAATGCTTCTTCTATTTTCAGCATGATTTGAAAGATAATCTTATTTGTAAATGTAAAATGTCAATTTTCAAAATAAATGAGAAAAATATATCAATGAGTTTTTAATCATTACCTCTTATGTTTTGAATACACTGACAATTTAATAGCATATTTTTCAATGGAAATTATTGTTTATATTGGGCATCTTATAAGGAAAACTAATCATTATACTCTCATTATTAAACAAATATAAAACTCACTTTATTTTTTGGAAAACTCAATTTATCCTTTTACGTATTTATTTAAATAAAGATAACTATCACCATTGCAACGTAATATTGTAGGATAAAAAAAATTATACTACTGCATAT